TGGTGGTCATCGTTAATCACAACTCCTTCGAATGAATGAATCAACAAGCAATGCAATTCTCCATAATCGACTCTGTCCTTGATTATTTTTGACAACGCCAGTGGGGTATCTGCCGTTAGCTTCCCAAAATTTGGATTGTCGTTTATCGCTCGTCCCTCTGCTCCCACATCATGGAAGAACAATTGGTAACATTGGAAGTCCTCGTAGAGCAGTATTACTTTGTTGGTGTAACAGATCTTCCTTGCAAAACAATCTTTCCACTTCTGACACCATACATATTAGGCGGATTGATTAGAGTTGTAAAGCAATCCGAAATTTTGAAATCGGGGGCTATACCAACAGTACTGTGGTGGTTCCCTATGTTAATATCATGACCTGACGTCCCGCTTGGTATGAATGATGAATCTAGAGAAGCCCATGACCATGTGGGCGCATTGTATGGGACGATTCGAACTACCTCACGAGGTTTATTCTCCGGGGAGATCCCACACCATAGAAAATCATGAAGCAAGTTGTCTTCTCAAAGACCCGCAAAATAACGTGATGTTGTCGATTTCACATTCTCTGTCCTACGTTTGTGGCTCGAAATGAGACGCAATCCCTGCAATATCTGGGAGCCGATCTGCTGGCTTACTGAAGTTGAGCTTGGAATATTCATCAATTGTGCCCCACTGTCCGAACCGTTGATCCCTTTTTCCCTCTGTGGCTATAGTCATGATACCTTGGTACTGTGTCAAGGCCAAAATGAATATCACACGGGAATATATAAAGGACCATGCTACCATGTTCCCAGATCTTTTCTGATGATGTGAAGTGTACAGTTCGAGGTGCCAGAAAAAGGTCTTGATAAGCCCACGCTCGGAACATCTGAACAATGTGAGTCTAGCTTTTCTACGTATACATGCACTTTTGAAACACTTACCAGAGAGCCCTTCTATATGTAAGTCGAGATCGTGAAGGTGGTTGTGATTTATCTCCCGCACATAGATCGAATAATCGCCGTGGTTAGAAATACTTCCTGACACCGAGTCTCACGCGGGGCCTTCATGAAACATCGTCCTCATACAGCTGTCATAGAGAAACACAGCTTGCAGCCTTCTGCTGCTGTTTTCCTTATCGTATACACTCCGATCTATCGATCTCTAGCTTTGAACTCGATTGAGTCAAACGGGTGTAATACCGAACAGCTTTTACATGATTTTTTGTCATATCCCTGCCTTGCGCATAGTATAGCAGCGTATGATTATCGGCCAAACAGTTGTTATCATCTTCTCGTCCATGGTTGTCCAATGCTACGTCGACCGTGTTCTGATCTTGTCGAAGTTGCCCAGAGATCCTCTCTTGCTGCATTATCTTGCGCAGCATAATTCTATTCATTAGCTTCATCGTTTGTCTCCCGCGGCAGATCATCCAGTTATCCGCTCGGCATTCTAGATCCAACTCTGAAGTAGTTGTTGTTCATTCTAGTGGAGCCCTACATAATATGAATAACGCCAAGAGGTCCAGTGCTCTCGAGAATTCAGTATTCCGGGCGAATACGATGTTTCCGACAGAACAAACATGAGATAGACCCAACGGCTAGGAGTTTCTCGCAATATGAGTGAAGTAAGACGTTGCTGCGTTGTCATTGATCCGCTGGATAAATCTTATCGATAACAAAAGCAGCAAGCCGTGCTGTGATGTCACGTGGAGCACAATTGGTGAACCTCCACTCGAACCACTCTCCTCTCCTCTTCACTCCACTCTTCGTTTCTCAACGTCTTCTCGGAGAATTTTCCACATCTGCCGCAGAACCATCTTTCACGGAGTACTGAACAACTCGATATACGGAGTATGGTCCGACCGTATCCAATACGATCGAGGTTTGCGTTCGTAAATGCAACCACTTTCACACCCTTTTTCCCATTGTTCAAAGAGCTATTTTTCGGAACTTCGCAATATTTTCGGGACGAACGTTCTGTGTATCGAAAGAGACAGTGCTTCTATTTTCAAGCCACAAAGTTCTTGAAACTAATAGGAAAATGACATCGGTATTTATCAGATCGCAGACAAGACAACATCGATTAGATTGGCGGACCTCGGGATGACAGAGGTCGCCGGCTTAACATAGTCTTGTGAATATCAAGCTTTTCTCTCGCTATTTTCCCACTGCATCAGGGCCAATCAAAGCTTCCGGAAATATATACTTTCATACATCTAGTTGACAGTTCCACGTACCTGCATCTGCCGAATTATTCCATCAAGTGGCTATGGTTGGAATTGAAGTGGGTACCGACACCAGTGCTTAAGCGAGCACACTTTTCACATGCACAACGGAGACGGACAACTCGATACGGCGGTTTGTTGCCGGCCTGGGGCCCCGGATTCCAATATTGGGTCAATCACAATTCTTTAATACTCTGGCTTACCCCAAAGATCTAGTTAACAAGATCAATCTGTGTGCTGCCGATTGGAGCGCATGGAATGTCTTTACACCTGCAGGTCTTGGGACCCGGTATTGGATATAAATATCTGCAGCTATACGATCCACTGTTTTAGTCCGGAGAACTACCTAATAGCATATATATGTTCTAAATAAAAGTGGCACGGGTCACTGAAGTGGCGGGCATTTCCTCCACTAATTGTTGACATAGTACCCAAGTTCTACTAACAATACCTATGATTAGGTATGCGGAATGCATTCGGGATGACCCGAGTTCCCCATCAAACTGCTGCTGTCGTTTCTTTAGCACTGTACAAGTCAGACCTCGTGACGCGTATAATACTTGTTCCGTGAGCATCAGAGGTGGAATAAAAGGCTCCATATGACTCTTGGTCCCCGGAAATTCCGATGAAAGCCTATTTTAGAGTAATCATCAATACGACCAGGTAGGTGCATGCTATGCGTACCAATCAAGAGCATGCAAGCCAAGCTTCACAAAGTTGATAAAGATTAATAAAAGGCACGCAAGACGCCGACTTTACGCTGTACAGTTCTACGTTAGTGGCCATCTAAGCTTCTCGTTGATATTTGAGAACTTTTCAGCGTGCCTCACACCGTCGTTCCGCCACAAAAGTGAGTAGTTATGTTTTCACGTCAAAAAATCCAACGCGCTCGCGCACTTGCTCTAGGGCTTGTTGCCGCTAGCCCTCTCGTTGCCGCTGGACCCTGCGATATCTACTCCTCTGGTGGAACTCCGTGTGGTAAGCCTCCAATTGATTACTTAAGAGCTCGTTACGTTGTAAAGCTTCCTGTAGACTGACCCTTCAATCTTACAGTTGCCGCACATAGTACTACTCGCGCTTTGTACAGTGCCTTCAGCGGTTCACTCTACCAGGTAAGCAATCAGATGCTCAACTTCATATTCTTTGGTGAACAATCACTGACTCCTCGATGTACTAGGTGAAACGTGGCTCAGATGGGACCACTAAAAACATTGCACCTCTAGCTGCAGGCGGAGTGGCCAATGCTGCTTCTCAAGACACTTTCTGCGCTAACACCACCTGTCTCATCACAATAATCTACGATCAGTCTGGTCGTGGTAATCACCTGACCCAAGCTCCTCCCGGAGCATTTAAGGGTCCCGATGTGAACAATTACGATAACTTGGCGTCTGCAATTGGTGCACCAGTCACCCTGAACGGTCAGAAAGCATACGGAGTCTTCATTTCGCCCGGAACAGGCTACCGCAACAATGCCCCTAGTGGAATAGCCAAAGCTGATGCAGCGGAGGGTATGTATGCAGTTCTCGATGGCACGCACTACAATGGTGGCTGTTGTTTCGATTACGGCAATGCAGAGACTAGTAATACTGACACTGGTAACGGTCACATGGAAGCCATCTATTTTGGTGACAATACCGGTTGGGGATCAGGATCCGGCAGTGGTCCTTGGCTCATGGCCGATCTTGAGAACGGCCTATTCTCCGGTGTAAGCCCCAAAGTCAACACTGGAGATCCATCCATCACCTCCCGTTTCTTCACTGCAGTCGTCAAGGGAGGACCAAATCTATGGGCGATTCGAGGTGCCAACTCTGCATCTGGCGCTCTGTCGACATACTATAGTGGTGTGCGCCCCAGTGCGTCTGGCTATAACCCAATGAGCAAAGAAGGTGCTATCATTCTCGGAATCGGCGGAGACAACAGTGTAAGCGCGCAGGGTACCTTTTACGAGGGTGTGATGACCACTGGTTACCCTTCTGATGCCACCGAAAACTCGGTACAAGCCAACATCGTAGCTGCTAAATATGCTACCACATCATTGACCAGCGGAACTGCTCTCACCGTTGGTTCCTCGATCTCTCTCCGGGCTACTACCGCCGGATACACAACACGCTACATTGCACACACCGGCGCCAGCGTGAACACTCAAGTTGTTACATCATCCAGCACTACCGCTCTCAAACAGCAAGCCAGCTGGTATGTTCGCGCCGGTCTTGGAAACAGTGCTTGTTTCTCCTTCGAGTCAAACGATACTCCCGGCAGCTACATCAGACACTACAACTTTGGACTTCTGCTCAATGCTAATGACGGCTCTAAGGCGTTCCACGAAGATGCCACATTCTGCCCACAAGCTGGTCTTAGTGGCCAAGGTAGCTCGATTAGAGCTTGGAGTTACCCTACTCGCTACTTCCGCCACTACAACAATGCCCTCTACGCTGCGACCAATGGCGGAGTGAATACCTTTGATGTCGCCGCCTCGTTCAACGACGATGTGAGCTTTGTTGTCAGCACCGGCTTTGCTTAAATTTCTTACCGAATACCCTTCAAGTGCTGAGCGTTTCATTGATTTTTTTTCTGTATGAGTTGGTCCACTGCTTGTTCATTCACGTCAGTCTATTGAAACATGGCAGTATGTAATTACACACTTTATATGGCTAGTCTGGACAGTATTTTCCACAAGTGTTAAAGTCATCGGTGTAAAAATCTCTCATGGCACATCTGTACATATATATTTAAGTAGGACATCAAGCAAGATAGCTCAAAAGTTAAATTCAATCTTTCAAATCCCACATGTGATACTACCGGATCTCAAATAGACTTTCCTCGGATAGATTTGACCGGACTGCTTCCCCATCCATAATCTTGTCCATATATGCCTCACCAGTCAACTGCCAATGCACTTCTCCATGCAGATTCAATGACTTCCATAGTACCACTGGCACACTACAGCCGTATAGAACGCAAACCGAATCACCATAGTTTGCATTTTGAGGAACGAGACCTACGAACATGTTTTCCATCTCCTTGTTGCTGGCACTTACGCTTAATTTCCGTTGACAAAAACGCCGATTCCAAACGATGTTTCGAACAACTTTGAGGTATGCTTTAACAGTTCCCGGAGTTTGGATATTCATAATAAGCTCTTCAATATCAATGGCCAAGCTCGGACACTGCTCACTAATGGAATCGCAGCCGCTGAATACAGTGTTCAAGATACTAGTCATTGCTTCATCACAGGCTGGCGGTGCAGGTTCACCTTTGTCATCGCGATCTGCGTAAATAATGCGCCAAGCATCTAGTACATGTATACTATTTGTAACTCGGCTGGGGCTTATTGTTCCCACTAATTCTAGGCCTTCTGCCGTCAACGTAGCATCAGCGAATCTTGTCGATCTTCGACTGATCTCCCCGTGGATTATTCCTTTGGTGTGTAATGATCCATTGCATACACCGTCAACGCCACGTCCGACGTAAAGATCAACTTTTGTTCCGCCATGGGCATTGTAGAGTTGCTTCTGGTTACGACTGACTAGAGAGATACTGTTTATTCTGCGGTTTGATCCCCAAGATGGACTTCCAGATGGTAAGTTATCTTGGGATGACATCCATGAGGGATACGATTGTACACCGAAGCGCTGCCTAGTTTGGTAGCTGATATCAAGTGTTGGGCAGTTTGAGATTGGGGCCCAGGGACGGTAAATAATTTCCAGTGAGCCTGGTCATCGGCAAGAGTGCGGGATGGCTCTTGTCCCCAAACATAGCTCAAAGCATAGTATTGCGAGGGTGTTGAAGTGTTATGCTCCGAGACCTTGCCAATAATGGTGTTTCCTACTACTCCAGGCTTCAAATGCAAGATCCGAAATTGATCAGCACCTAGCGGCTGAGAATATAAGGGTTGTAATCGTCTCGGCGCACGAATGTTTTCACGCCTTTTGATCTCCTTCACAAGTCTTCTAAGTGCATTTTCTTTTCCTTCGACATATAACATGGACATAGACATAGAGGTTCCAGATAGGCCTAGGATTGAACATGCAATATCCTCTTCAAATTTAGTCTGGCGACTTTTCATCCAAGAAAATTTCTCTTCGGCATCGATTTCGAATGTTCCAACATCGCCTCGGATCACCAAAATTGAAATTCCAGTGAGCTCGTGGATCAACGGCGCCAAATCTTGCTTACTACCAGTAAGTTTATCCTCGCAAGTAAAAAGTGTACCACAGATGGTGCAAGAAGGCCTAGAATGGTCCAGCCCCGCATAAACCACCTACTTCATCGCGGATCTACCTCTGAAGGTTCTTCGAAGCTGTGCCTGCTTGGTACCCATTTCGCTGATACATCTTCTAAGTAAACGCAAGACAGACTGGCATCTCGATACCAACGGAACATCGAAATAATTGCCTCTTGTTTTTCCGAGCCGCTCGATTTGTCGATACAGCATGTGTCTACTCAAAAATATTCGAGACCATTCTTTCTAGCCACATTATCGCAAAATAGAAGTTTCTCGTTCCCGGCTTTGTCTGGATCCCGACCATTCACCAAGTCTTGGAAACTAATCTCGTCGCTACCCCATGTGTGTGAAAGTGTGGTATAGTTTAGTGCGTCTGTGTAGAACGTAGTCAGGCTGATACTTTTCAAAAGCCTGAAACCTTGCGCGCCTCTCTCAAAACCCATTGCTTGAATGAATGATATCGATTGTGTTGAATCCGAGTAGGAATTCTCGAGATATTCAAGGGTACCGGATTTAATTAGAAAGAACTTCTGGTTAGAGATGTGAATGTGAGTTGGCTAAGCTGATGGCAATAGGAAAGAGGGGTTATGAACGTGTCAGCAACCTAGCCTCGTCAGCATGCCTGTCTACCAAATCAGATGTTAGAAATTCGGTATCCATTTCTTACACAGAATAACAAAAGGACATCAACTCATAATAGAGTTCAAACCCTAAACCAATTTTTTCTGCGTAGTACCATTCATTTAGAAAACCATTTCCTCTTACGTTCCGTTCTGGTAGCAGGACCATGTGGTAATTGCTGTTCTGCAAGTCAATGGATGAAGATTCACCACTCATTGATCGAGACGAGAGGCAATCCACACATACAACAAGCTTAGTGATAGTGAACAGATACGAGGCGTATTTACACTCTTCCTAACAGTTTTTGAAAAGTAAAGTACCCAGGGTATACCATGACCATATCCCAATAGAATAGTCCCAATGTATTCATTCCAACACGCCGAACCAACCAAACCAATTGCAGGAAGTACAAGTACAAGATCACCCCAAAAATGTCTTCAGGTCTGAAATAACAATTTACTCCTTCATGCCAGAGCTCTCGCTTACACCTCTCCCATATTCAAACGCACCCATCTCTCCTCTCTCCGACCTTAAGGCTGATGCTCTTCTCTTTCTCCTCCATATTACCAGCACCACCTCCAGTAGCGCAATAGCTGCATATACACCCGCCATGACAGCTACATCAAGAATCTGATCGCTAACTGGATATTTGCTCCCCTTTCTCCCATCGTAGCCATACTGTTGTTTCAATCCAATAACCTGCACAGCACTCATGACAATTCCTCCTATCCAAAACAACATGTTTATTGCTTGCCACCACTTTACACGTCGTTGTAGTCCTTCACTCCAAAACAAGGCAGCTGAGAGAAGGATTCCGGCGTAGCCGAATGGCAATAAACCAATGCCATAGTGAAGATTAGTCAAGCGCACGATTTCGAGAGTAAGCATGGCGATATTTGCAAAAATGAGGAAGTAGTAAATGACAAGGAAGGTGAGGTAAAGACATGAGGAGCGAGTGTTGGAGCGCAGGTGTGCGGTGGAGGGGTTGTAGTTGATTTTGCGGTGGTGGAGCCCTAAAGCAAAGAGGATAGGTACGAAGGCGAGAGCGAGCCAAGTTGGAAGGGGAATGAGGATAACGTCTGTGAAACAAGTTGTGGGGAGGTTTGAAGAATTGAGGTGGGAGGTTGGGCCCTAGAAACCTGTCAGTGGACGCGGAGTTGAGGGGATATGTGTTGGGACGTACGAAGCCCTCGGGTCTGTTTGTACAGAGCATTCTATAGAAGATTTCTAGTTGTAACGATGATAGATAATGTGCTATGAGTTCTGATGGTTTGTTTCGGAGATTCTCCGCAGGCACAAAATTCGTCCCAAGTCTTCAAGTACTTGTATATCTTGTGTCGGAATCGTTCAATTATTCATCCGATCTTCAAAACAATCAAGCCATATTGAGACAAGGATTCGTTCGTTTGTGTAAAATTTCGATCGTCGTGTTCGTCTCAAATCCTACCCTTCGTGTCTCACAATGTCTCCTTCGTGTTATCAACAACCTTTTCTCTCTGAAACAAAGAGAACCTTGTGAAGATATCACGCAGGCATAGAAAGATAGAAGAATAGAAGAATAGAAGAAAGTAGCATAGAAATGAAGTTATAATACCAAAATCTAGGAAAATAAATGCCAGAGGAACTTGACCTACGCATTTAACCAGAGGCGTTCGGGATGTTTCTCTCCCGGAGGATCAACGACTAGAATGTCCTAGTGAAGGCCGAACGACCGGAGCTTAGGATGTTAAGCTTATAGCGGTGCTGTGGGATATGGGACGTGAGGGCCCGGGGACGGCAGTCCTACCAATCTATCAATTGATTTGTGTTTTTCTTCTTAAGAGCTCAATCCCTTTTCAATTCTTTCCGTGTTAATAGAGAATTGACACGGTGCCCACATGGCCTTTTCGTGCGAGAGGAAGCAACAAGAGCGAGGGAAGATTGTCGTATCTATGAAAGACGTCATGTTCTCGGCGATGCAGAAATCCGCGAAGATTCGTATCAGGGTATCTTGCTGATACAGGCCAAACCTTATGATGTCGTTGAAACTTGGAACGCATTCAGGGAGGAACAGTGGGACGTGGATAGAGGATCTTTTGGATCTTAATTTTAAAAACAAAGCGGCGTCCAAAGTATTGCCTATCACGTGCCTTTGGCGAAAGCATCATCTAAAAGCGGCGTCAATTACCCCGTGATTTACCCGCATCGGGCCAAGAAGAACCTTGGGGTGCTGCTATTCTGCTCAAGACTGGTGGACTTTCTGAATAGACAAGCAAGGTAAACCTGTGTATGAAACTCACATATTACCACAATTTCAAACATACCCATCATATTCGTCTCGAGACCAGCTTTAACTTTACCTACCTCATTGAACGGATCCAAGTTCAAATATTCATTGGTATTTCAATGTTCACAGCTTTCTTCCTTCCGACCCCTCCGAGCCCCTCCCCTTCATTGCCGAGGATGAGGAAAACAAGTCTCACCGAATCACACCATCAACTCAGTTCAATGTCTCTTGACAGCCGTGCCCTTTCTGTCAGTCGCTTGTATCTTTGTCTTTCTCAGAAATTGTAGATTTTTGCAATTCTCTTCTCTACACCTATCAGACATTCTTTCGGCTCTTGATTGGCCTCTACTGCTATCGAGCCGGAAGTTCATATACACCAAGTTTCGTTGACAATCAACATCAAACAATGTTTTGGGGAAACTCACGCTCTTGTTAAGCTTTGAGCATTTCTATGAGGGTTTTTGCTTTTCTTCCAACTACTCAGCTTCGGCAATTTCCAGGACTCCGCCATTGCCTTCAGAATATATTTCAATTTAGAAAATATTATCTAATTTCGACAGAGCGTCGGCTCTTCAACCTAATTTTCCGTGGAAAAACTGTGACTGACGATTCACATGCCTCTCTTCTATTCTCACGCAAAGGCACCATTTCTGACAGATCTAACAGCATATAAAGGCCTTCCTAGCTCCTTCATAAAATTGCTTCTGGAGATTGGATCACAAGGCTTTTCATACCCCAGTGAGATCATTTGGAGATTTCCGATCGCCTAGCATTGAAGTGTGTAGCAATAATACTAACAACCATTCTGACGTCACTGTAACGACACACTCGTGGTTTAATTATCTCTTGGAGTTTTGCGGTGCAACCCCGAGTTCTCTCAACTACCTGCTTATATTCTGTCGCACTTCTCTATCATCTCCCCAAGTTTGATGGGTCCTACCGTTTTCAATGGTCCAGGCTACAATTTAACATTCAGATATTTCCAATATCTTGATTCGAAGATTCTATTGGTTTAAAATCTCAAGTTCGTTTCAAATGTTGGAAGAATTAATAGTTTAAGCTTACATTAAGACTGCTAGTTCCAAACTGTGGAACACTCTGATGGACGCTAAGCCAATTTAACCCCACTACCTTGAAAAGCTTGGATGTTTGCAATTGCTTTCATCTCCACGCTTTCAAGCATTTAGAAATATATGCCCAAGCCAAAAGTCCCTTTCGTATCATCAAGCAATTTGGGAGACCCTTCTCCAGACGCTGTGTCACCTAGCAGCGTAGACATGGGGGATAGCGGGGTCGTGGAATTGCCTTCGAGGCTTGGAAATTTGTCTTGATGATTATTAATAGTAGTTGTGATGGCAGCCGTAGAGAATGGTGAATCGATAGGATCTGTAAGTCGGCGCGGATTTTGATCATGATATTTTGGAGAAAGTTCTGCTTTCGTAGCCATAGATTCCACAATTTTTTGGAGACCTGTTCCATAACTCAATTCGTCTTCTATGTCTGCTACCAGCTCATCTGGTTCGACATACCAAAACAACTTCTTGCCAGGGGTACAAGTATGAAGAGAAAAGTTGGCGTCAGCGAACTGTTGTTGACAGACTCTAGGAGTCTCTTCCTCCTCATCCTCCTCCATTGTCAACTGCCTCAGAACCTCCCCTCTCTCCCCGTTTCTCTCCGCTTGCCTTTCTCTTTCTTCTCTCGCCTTCCTCTCTGCCACTCTTGCCGCTACTGCTTTTGTAACACATGTAGGGCAGCGTTGCTTAAGTCTCAGCATCTTAAATTCAGTCTTTTGGCCATTTTGACCCCTTGCTTCGCTACACCTGTTGGTTTCTATTGATTGATCTTCGATCTCGCGGAAGAGTCCACAACGTTCTAGCTCCAATGGTTGTTTGATTCCCGTCTTGCAACTAGGGAAACAACTATAAATGGTGGAGTATAGGACACACATTCGGTAGAGAGCTTCGACGACCTGATACTTGGCAAATTGTTAGGTATATGGAGGTATGGTTGGGTAGGAGGCGACCACAATGGAGATACTCACAGTTACTGTTGAAGGCTGGTTGCTGGTTGGGCAGTGAATCCAGGAACAAAGTCGAATGGGTTGAATTTAACGTCTGACAGGCTGAAGACGGGATGGGATGTATCAACAAATTAGTAACAGCTGTACTTCTTTCTATGGCAATAGCAGTTTATAATGTCACGACTATAAGAGACCAGAACAGCATCCCCATCATCGGTGTTTTATGATCTTTAAATACGGCACAGTATGAATAATAAATATAGTTCAAGAGTGGGATACGGCCATTTTGATGAATTATTATTATGAGGCGCCGACATGCTCACTCTGCCGTATGATCAAAGCAGGGTTGAACTTTCAGTGTGAGTGAATTGAAAGATTTCTGGACTTTGGATTGTGCCAAATTGCATAGCTAGTATAAAATAATCGACACTATCGCCTAACTTTCAAACGTAAGGGTGCAGTTTAAGAATTGTGCTGAAGTCCTGGATCACGAGACGGCTATAAATCACTTTCCTCGAGATAAGCGAGATGGTGAAGACATAATGATTTCAATGAAAGAAGCTCTACGCGAGTTGAGATAAAATCCGCAGAGCATATAAGTTCTCGAGAATAGCTGCGGGGTTTACAAGCAATCCTGCACAAAGCCGACACATTCCCCCAATCACCGTAGGGATCTTGCTCCGAAATCGAATTTCTTCTCGACCTTCAGAAATTGATAAGAGGATTTCGCATTTGTACTTTGGTTTAGCGTCCATACTACCATATTCATCTTATGTACTTGTAACCGAACCGGTTCTGTGTTGGTTTTTGTGTGGCTTTAAATTAAACGAAAATTAAGTATTGTCGAGTCACCTGAACTGAACGCCTATTTGGTGTGCAACTATATAAGGAACCATCGAGTTTATATTGAAGAATTCAAGCCTGTTACTTTGCAGAATAAAAGAACACATTTACTGCCTAGGGACCATGATCATTTTATCCCCACATAATAGAGGAGAGAAGAATGACTAAGCGAAGCCTACATGATGTACTTGTTTACCGACCTACTTGCAGATCTCCATCACACTAATGTTTAATCAAGTCTGGGGATCACATGCGCTAGACTAAGTATGTAATGACGCTCTTCTTTTGAATAGTTACATCACAACTTGTCCAGACCTTTTCCCGAAATGTGTCCCTTTTACAACATCATCCATTCCCACAACACCCAGCTCCAATCAAGATGGATCATGTCAAGACACCTTCCGCCCTCCTTGGATTGCCAAGAATACACTTTGCTCACAAGCTCAATGCATTAACAAACTCATCGTTTGAGAAAATGCCTAGAGAATTGATCCAACAGATTGCTGACAACTTGGATGTCGCATCGGCCGCATTATTCTCCATTTCGTGCAAAACAATCTATGTCTTCGTTGGATCTCAATACATCCACAATCTAACACGCCACGAGAACATGTTATTTCGAAGAATAATGGAATATGATATTAAGAATATGACCTTGAATGGTTGCTGCGATATATTTTGTGCTCTGCAACATTCGAGCCCCGCAAAAGGTATCAGCAAGATTCTTCAGAAGCTTTCAAAACTTTCAGTTGATCAGAGAAAAAGATTGAGTATATCATATCGCATGAATGAGATGGCTGCAGCATATCTAGCCCGGGATCTACATCACCACATCTGCTTCATTGCCCCCTATACCCGAGATGATTTTCCCTGGACTGTCGAAAGAGAGGTGTTTTGGAATATTCTCCGCGAAGGCAGTGAATCTATCGGTTTTCAGAAGGATCAGTTTACATTCGTTAAGAAAGGCCGTTCTACATTAGTGCGGCAACGTAGGGTTTTCGAAGGAAAATGTGGCGAAGTAATACGGCTACGCGTCGATATATGTGCCCATCTTCAATGTTATTCGAATTCGATGCATATCCGTCCCCGGATTTGCCCAACGAGCCGGGATCGAGTTATAGATATAAACAAAAATCGTCCTGAGAGCTCATGGGGGTTATACTGGAAGAACGTTGAAGAAGAGACAAGTGAGATTGAACATTGTATCGAGTGCCGGACTGAATTTTCTGTCCGGTTCGTTCACGTGCGAGACTGTATTCCAAATCTACACTGTCGCATGGAATTCACAATTACTACCTGGAAAGAACTTGGGCGAAAGCTTGATGACAAGAGATGGAGAGAACACTTCCCTGAGCCTCAAAAATTCGTCCCGTCACCTATCCCGAGAGGCCAAGGGCGCAGAACAAGAATCTCTGATATCTTCACCCCTTTGGTCGTTCTCAATCTATTACCATTTGTATAGGTCGACATCTCCTAAGATCCTTCCTAAAATTGGCCTAAAATTGGCCTAAAACTCGGCCTAAAACTCGGCATAAACCTTGATGTCAGTTTACTATGATGAAGCCTTGGTAATTGGATATATCACATATGTCTTCGTATGGTAACGTTTCAAACTTCTTTGGCATCTTATAGACAACTTTCAACTCTTTCTAGCATCATGGAGAGGCTTCTATAGTAACGGGATTATGTGGTAGAGGGTTGATAATGATGGTTTCTTCTGCCTCTCAAATAAAGATACGAAATAACAAATGAAAAAGCGAAGGGGATTTCAAAAGACCTGCAGAATTTTAATTTAGGGAAGGTTTTACAATGGCAAGGATATGTTATGGGTGTTTGGAAAGATGGTATTACAAGGAGCCTGGATAATGAACACCTTCTGTATCTCAGAAATAATCTTAATTGATATATAAAATTAAATCGTCTAAAGTGTCTTGAATCATTGAATCGGTCATACCGGAGTCCTTGCCGAGCCGCCTCGAGAAATAATAGGCGGTCTGGACTACCACTTCGTTTACCACCATAAAAATACCAGAGATCCAACGATTCGATGCTGAAAATGTATATCTGTACTCAAATAAATCTCGAATGAAGGGAGTGATCAGATCGATTTTATAAAGGTGAGCACCCGATTTCTTGTACAGTCGAAATTTATTGATGGCATTGAACAGAATGAGATAGGATGATTATGGGTTTTATATCGTGGCTGAGGTCCAATTCATCGAGGTCCCAACCTTTGCGGCTTAGTGTGAGAGAAATGGATACAGTGTCTCCAAAGATTCAAGGAAATCCGACCTTCATGACTTCCTGAACATTTTGGAATATTCGCGTTTGGAAACTATCACCATTGTGGCTCATGTTTTCATTGAGGAACAGACAATTCAGCGTTTAGAGCGCTCTTTCTCTTATTATCTTCTGTGTTTGAGGGACTCCTTCTAAGTGGGGTTTTGGACTTTTGGAATGATGGAAAAGAGTAACATATCAGGAAGAAGCCATCTCTATAACGCTGCATGAATATGGTTGATTGTTCTGTAGGAATCAATGCTTTCCATTTCATTCTGTTTCAAGCGATTCATTGAGCATAATGCTTTGAATATTGCCTTGTCCTCAAAGACACTTGTCTTTATGTCAAAAAGGCATTTCACAGTTGATATTCATAATATGAAATGAGAGCAGACTTGTTCTTTCCATGCTTCGCAACAGTTGCTCCTTCTTTTCTAGAGTTCTGGATGGCCACCTTTCACACACAAGTTTTTCACAAATCTCATTGGACTACCTAATGGTTGTCAGGTGTGAAGGGCAATTCAACCATGCAATTTTCTTATGTCCATCGTGGAAGTTGTACTTTTAGAGCGATTCAGCGCTTGAACCCCTGTTTGATTCCTGGTCTTGTGACCGTTTCCAGGAGTGAATCTGAACTACAGATACATGAGTAGTGTCACTCAACACACAGATATCATTCACCTGGGACTATCAAGGCTTCTTCCATCCAAGAAACCAAGGGAACCGCCACCCGACAAGGGTACTGATCTTTTCAACCAGAGTCTCAATGTTTACTGGCATACAAAGCAGGACCTCAACGGGAAGAAATGAAAAGTTTCTTGATGGTCATTATGTACAATTCACTTCTGGTCACACTCTCAAAGTCAACAAGATGAAGAATTATGATCAGATATTTTTCTAAAGTCATGTGAAATGGAGAAATAGCTTAACATCAATATTGTGGAGATTTTCCACCAGTTGCAGATCAAGAAAATCGCGACATCAAGAAAATCATTGACCAATCATATTCAGATTTATTTATGGTCATCACTCAATACTTCGCTCTCTATCGGCATAAATAGGGGAGAGGAACTTTTTAACGATCATGAGGATGAGAGGTTGGAACGCTCCGTAGTCGGACGGAAGGACTATATTCACCAGTGCTGTGAGGTGATCTTTTGGGTCAATATTCAATAGGTATGGGAAGCTGGAGGCTTGTGGTACTTTCAATCAGCAAGGTTGGAGTGAATCTAGAGCCAATATACTTGGATTTGGAACGGCTTGTATGTCCATGGGTGTTGATGTAGAGTTTGATTCCATTCCCAAAACACCTTGACAGGTAACGTTATTGGCTTTTTGTTGAGATCAAGAATGAATATGTGATATCATTCACTTAACGAATGTTCCTTTCCAACCCAACACAGCCTCTCTTTCTGTATGATCACTAGGTAGGTAGGTGGTCTATTATATTTTCGACTTCTTTGTTTGTTTTGAAACTACCTAGGTCAATGACAGATCTTTGGGGTTTTCATCAAGAAGAATTTATCTCAACATTTTTCAGCCGTGCACCGAATCTAATCTAATTAAGATTCTGGTTGAAAAAGGTTGAAAAATTGCCCTAAGAACTAGTTGGGTGTCTCGGAACGGGACAAAGCGGCCGCTGGTGGTGACTCCAGCATCATTTTTTCCCCTCCACAAATTTATTAATTTTGTCTGCCCCGCGTATCTCAGTCTTTCAATTCTAGTCTAGGTATTTAATCTCCAAGCAACAACCTCTCCAATTCCTGGAAACCTCTTTTCAAAAGACAAAAACATCAACTCCCTCAGAATATACCAAGATCTTTGGGATAATCTATTCAAGATGTCTGCCAACGATATCTATCAAACTCCCTTGACTTCGCGTTATGCAAGTAAGTATCTGATCTCTCCCTTCAGCAATTGATTGATAAAATCACAAACCCAAGTGGATTCTTCCTCTCGAGTCCATTGGCGGCATCTCATAATGCGCTCTTCTCTTCTCGCAGTTGAATCTCATATTTGACAATCAACTTATTTGTTCAACCATATTCAAAGACTCAATGCTAATCATTCTACGCTCTTAGGCAAGGAGATGAAGGAGATTTTCTCTGCGCGCAACCGTGCTTCAACATGGAGAACTCTTTGGATCGATCTCGCTGAAGCCGAGAAGGAGTTGGGTTTGGATATCAGTGCTGAGGGTATTCAACAAATGAAGGAGAACAGAATTATGACCGATAAGGACTTTGAGGTTGCTGCTGAGGAGGAGAAGAAGCGTCGTCATGATGTGTAAGTTCTCTACATCCTAAATTCTTCAATTTAAAAAATGCATTTGCTAATTCCTCATTTCTAGTATGGCGCATGTTCATGCATTTGGCCAAGTCGCTCCAAAGGCTGCTGGTATCATTCACTATGGTGCCACCTCCTGCTACTGCACCGATAATGCCGATCTTATCTTCCAACGTGATGCTCTCGATTTGATCCTTCCAAAGTTGGCTACTATCATTTACAAGTTGTCACAATTTGCTCTTGAGTTCAAGGATTTGCCTACCTTGGGCTACACTCATTTCCAACCTGCTCAATTGATCACAGTTGGTCGTCGTGCATCTCAATGGGTTCAAGATCTTCTCATGGATTTGGAGGACATCAAGAGAGTTAGAGCTGATCTTCGTAAGTTTTTCTGATATCTCTTCAACTTGAGCTTAACTTGCTTTCACCTCTCTGGGTATTTGCTGATTCTTTTTGAATACAGGTTATCGTGGTGCCCAAGGTACAACTGGTACTCAAGCCAGTTTCATGGAGATCTTCAAGGGCGATGGTGCCAAGATTGACCAACTCAATGAAATCCTTTGCGAGAAGGCTGGTTTCCCAAGCTGTTACGCTATCAGCACCCAAACCTATTCCCGCAAGGTTGATCTCAGAATCGCCAATGCTCTTTCCAGCTTTGGTGCTACTGCCCAGAGAATCTCAAGTGACATCCGTCATCTTGCCAACTTGAAGGAGTTGGAAGAGCCATTTGAGAAGGATCAAATTGGTTCATCTGCCATGGCCTACAAGCGCAACCCAATGAGATCCGAGCGAATTGCAGCTCTTGGTCGTCACCTTGCCAACCTCAACAAGAACGCCAACGATACCTACGCTGCTCAATGGTTTGAGAGAACTCTCGATGACTCTGCCATCCGTCGTATCACCATCCCCGAGATGTTCCTCTCAGCTGACGCTGTCTGCATGGCTATGGATAACGTTGTCTCTGGCTTTGTTGTTTACCCAAATCGTATCCATTCTCGTGTTATGGAGGAATTGCCTTTCATGGCTACAGAAGTCATCATCATGAGAATAGTTGCCAATGGAGGATCAAGACAAGAGGCTCATGAAGAGATCCGTGTCCTTTCTCACCAAGCTTCTGACGTTGTCAAGAAGCAAGGTGGTAAGAACGATTTGATCGATCGCATCAAGGCCACCAAGTACTTTGAACCAGTCTGGGCTGATCTCGATAGCATGATGGACCCAAAGAACTTCATTGGCCGCAGTGCACACTCGGTTGAGAAGTACTGTGGACCTGGTGGAGAGGTTGAAGCTGCTCTTGCAGAATGGTCTAGCCAGATCAAGTCTAGCAAGGCAGTTGAGTTGAGTCTTTAAATTTAAAATTTGATGACTTGACAATTTCTTCCGTTGGATGATTTTGAAATGGTTGCATATGGTTGGGGGAGCATTGGTTGGAGTTCATGGAGTTGGGCAATTTTCTAAAGTAACTTTACGACTCATACCCATTCTACCTAGAAGCTATTGCTTTACGCGATACGAATAATCTTGATAGAAACATCGGTTTGGTATTTTGATTTTCTGGAGGTGCAATATTGCAACTTTAACAAGTATGTATGTATATAGCCTTGCCAGCGACTTAATACAAACCCATATTACATATTCTTTCTGCCCCTTGAATTCGCTGATTGAAATGAGTGGACCTAATAAAGGACTAACGGAACGCATTAACATATTTATTGATGTAGTGAGTGAAATGCAGATGGATTTCTCTAAAAGCATATGGCCTATTGTTTATTGATATTCCTGCTCAAACATATCCCACAGATCAACAAACGGATACTCAAGTCCATTCATTAAGCTTTCGGTATCCGCGAGAAACGGTACATTTATTGGATCCTCAAAACTTTCACCTACCATACCCAC